GCCCTTTATTAGGTTACTACTTCATGTAAAAATGCTTTCTGTGCAGATATTTGGCATCTCAGGTTACTACAGAATTCCAGTTCTTTGGATATCCATACTCTACAAACATGCATAGACACATAACCACAAATACTGTCTGAATACTTTATTAAGGCTAGAGTGTGTATTCAAGTACCTTATTGCTCTAAGATGGTATTTTTTACTTTCTGTGGGCTAGATTGTCTAATCTCAATGTTTGTTTGGTTAGTTTATTTATTTACCTATTTTCAGTATAGTGAGTTGGTCCTCCCCAGTGACTTACAAAGGGGAGCAATGAAAAAAAATTTTTTTTAGTACCATTCTGAATCAGTGGTTTTTCATATCCTCGTTGTGTCTAAAACCCTATGAACCAAACCAAACTCATTGCCATAAAGTCGATTCCGACTCATAGTGACCCTATGGGACAGAGTAGAACTGCTCCATAGGGTTTCCAAGGAGCAGCTGGTAGATTTGAACTGTGGACCTTTTGGTTAGCAGCTGAGCTCTTAATCACTGTGCCACTAGGGCTCCAAAACCCTGTGAAGGAATCTTAAATTTGCATTTGATCAGGGATTAAGAAAGTAAGTGTGAGAAGTATTAAAAACCAATTTTGACTATCATATGTTTTTATAATACCTAAAATCTTTTATAATAAATTAAACAAAAATTAACCACTTGAGGTGGTTATAGTAGCTACTAATGTGACTGAGGGTTTTGTGTTTCACAGTTGGTAAAGTCATTTTGTTTGGGACAAGGACATAATGGAACTCTGTGCTAAGGGAAGCTTGCCAGGCAGAGTGAGGGCTTTTCGCTTGAATCAACTAGATTTATCAAAAAGGTGCCAACTTTTTAGGCACTGGAATAAAATTATACTTCTGTTGATAATGGACTGCTGTTCTTTGTTGGAGTATAGGAAACAGCTGTGGAAAAGGAGACTCCCAGGGAGTACAGAGATGAGCATTATGGAATAATTAGTTACCTGGTATGCATCTATTACATATCTCTTTCACTGTACTTACAGCTGTAATGAAGCTAAATGTTTACTGAGTACAATTTATGTGCCACACATTCTGCACATTCATTCTGCATTTAATCTTCACAACAACTCTAGATTTTGGGTACTATTTATTATATCCATTTTATAGAAGAGGAAACTGAATTTTATACCTATTTTACAGGAAAGGGTAACCTGAGATGCTCAGTATGTAATGTGTCCAAGGTCATACTGCAGAAGATTTGAAGCCAAGTGGTCTGGCCTGTGTTCTTAACCTTTGCTTTACTATTTTATCTCAAATCTAAACTTTTGGTGATAAGAGGCTAAGGAACCTTTTTTTTGAAGTATTTCTGTTTGTGTATCTCCTTGAAGAATAAGAATTTGAGCCTGACCCAGTTGAAAGACATGAGCCAGTCTGAGGGGTTTTTATTATTTGGTGATGCCTAACTGGATGATTTCTTAAAACTGTGCAAGTAAGTTGACTACTTCTGTCAATGTGGAGAATGAACAGTTTTCACTTATGTTTTTCCTTGGCATTTTATAAAGACTAAGTGACACTTTGAAAATGACATATATTCAAAGCTACTAATACAGTGGAGTGTTCCTGAATAGAATATAACTAATGATTTGTAAAATTAAACAAGTTTTAAATTTACTCAAGACCTTACAGTATGGTCGGGTAAAGCAGAGACCCTTTTTTTCCTTATTCTGACTACCCATATTTTTCCATACTAAGGCAAATTTGAGGGATAAGATGATGAGTTTAGTTTTGAGCATGTTTTAGACACATTGACTTGGAAAGAGCACTGATGTGGTTTGGATTTGGAGCTCAGGAATAGAACTAGAGATAAAAATTGTTTTTAAATTTGGTATATGCATTTACTTAAAAATCCATGTTCTAAACTATTAATTAGTATCAAGAATTTGGGTAGATTTAGAGGCAACGCTATATGTTGTAGTCATGGGCAGAGTCCTGATTGAGGAGATGAGAATTTTAGCCTTAGTTCTGTTATGCTTTCAGATTATAAGACTTTGAGCACAGGGACTGAATTCTCACATATGAAAAACTGAATTATTGATCTAGATTTTCAGTCTCTTCTATTACTGAAAAAGTTCTAATATACCCGGGCTCTGTTATTTAAATATCTCTTATAAGCATAGGTGATACCTCTGGATCGGGAATCAGAAAATGTATTCCCAATAACAACCTTGGTGCCATAGCGTGTATTACTACGAAAGGAAGAGGAAGGGCAGAAGAAAGAAGACGGAGATCAGAGGCCCAATTCAGCCAATAAAATAATATAAAGCTTTACTTACACGTTGTCAGTTTATGAACTTCTATATAGAAATGCACAAAAGCTTCATGCCAGAGCAAAAGTGTCTCTCTTTACCCCAACAAATGGCTTAGTGATCATGGATGGTCATTTCAGTTTTGGTTTGTAACCATTGCTTGTCCTTATTTTTGAGATTTCTGAAAAACAGTTGTTTAAACACAAACAACAGTGTTGAAAGTGCTAGTAAGAAAAGATATGTGATTGCAATGGAGAAGAAAGTGGAACTTTACATACATTTGTTCACATTAGATATTGGGACAGTGCTGCTTTGTATTCATGAACAGATGCGTTTTTGAACAGCCGTTTGGAACCTCACCTTTTACAGAGAAGCTTCTCTACCAGGAAACATCCCTTGTTTCTGGTTATACTTTCTTAACTGTGGTTTGAAATTTCAAATTTTGGATAATGGGATTATAATCATGTTTAATTTTATAAAGATTATTTGTAAAAATAGCCTAAATATTTAAAGACAGATATTTAAAACAGTATCTTTTAGACAATGGTTACTTCCCCAGAAGAAGTTTTGCTCTAATTATCTTGGTACCTGGCACATAGCCTTGCAAATTATAGGCACTCAAGCATTTGTTCACTTGAATTAGGGTGCACAATTTTCAAATTGAGACATGTACAATTAGTGTTAAATTGGTGGTACAAGTAGTAAGTGTTGTATTTCTGAAGGGAGTGATCCCTATGGGTTGAGGCTTAGAGATTTGGGAGAGTTTATGAAAGAAATGGGATTTGAGTTGAGCACTGATGAATAGAAAAGATACCAGTGGCTGCTGAGAAGTGGGAGGGATATTCCAGGCATGGGGAATAATAGAATTTGAGAAAGGAGGCAAGAATGAATGTACTTTGTGTAGAGGACTATTACATGAAGATAAGCCTGATACGGAGGAATTGGGTTGAGTAATTACTTAGGGGACATTTGACTCATGGCCAAATGTATATGTTTATATATCTGTCTACAATCAGTTTAGGTCAGAGCACTTTTTTTCCTCCTAGATCTGATACACTGCTCAAAAACTACCTGAGTGAGTTAAAAATAATTTCCCAATGTTGGAGTTGTGATTTGTTTTCGATGAACTCACTATTAAGGGAATGAAGTGGAAGGGTTTGGGAAACTACGAGTTAGAATCTAGTTTTGTGAGTAGAAATACTGGCTAAATTGATTTTTTATCTCTCGTTGTATTTGGATTCCCAGTTAAGGAAATCAGCCAGCCATGATGACCCCCCTAGAGCCCAGAATATATTTAGGGAATTGGCTTTACTGAAATTAAGAAATTGAGTATGTGATTTGGGTAGCACATACTCCAAACCCAAAACAAAACCCACTACCGTCGAGTCAGTTCTAACTCACAGCAACCCTATAGGACTGGGTACAACTGCCGCAAAGGGTTTTCAAGGCTGTAATCTTTATGGAAGCAGACTGCCACATCTTTCTCCTGAGGAGCGGCTGGTGGGTTCAAATGGCCGACCTTTTGGTTAGCAACTGAGCGCTTTAACCCTTGTGCCACCAGGGGTCCTTAGCACATACTAGCTGGATTTAAGTTTTGAGGACAACTGATTCACCAGATCAGCTGCATTCCTGGAATTGTTTCTTTTAAAATTATTAGGAAATCAATGGCCCATCTGTCCCTTGGAATTAACTGTCTTTTGAAATATTTTTATGAAAATTATAAATGCTATTTCTAAGAACAAAACGTTATTTATTGTGATTATTTTTATACCTCTGTCTTTTCATGTCCCAGTAATGACCATGACAGTATGATGTGATTTTTAATAAAATTGTGATAAACTCTTAAGTTCAGTTTTTTCCTTTTATTTTTGTTAGTAGTAACTCCTTTTTTTTTTTTTTTTAATAGACAAACATCTTTGGCAGACATTTTAAAAGTATGTCTCCCTCCACTGTGAAATTTTCACTCTTAAGTTGCGTTTCTGTTTTTCTGCTATTGTAAAGTGCAGTTCTTTGCATGTTCTAATTTGCCATGACGTGATCAAGTGCTGTTTCCTTCCTGTTGCTTGCAAGCCTGTGCTAGAGATAAGGATACATTTCAGTGCATTAAAAAAGGAGACTTCTACTTACCAGAAGCCTTTTTAGAGAACAGAAAGAGTAGGCTTTTATTTTCCGCTTATTTTAAAAAGCTGCTGAAATAATACATTATTAAACCTTTAATGTATTAGACCTTTAAATAGATTTTAAATCCTTTCATGTATTAGACCTAACAAAAGTGTTGTCTGAATGTTTCTATTAAGGACTAAAATTATACATTATGAAATTACTCATGGTGTAGCAGTTCCTTTGTAGGTAGTTTCTCGGGTTAGAGGGAAGAAGGACATTGTGTATGTATCCTCTGTTTCAACTATAAAACGTACTAATATTGCTAGATCTTTTTTAATATTCATTACTTTAACTGTAGTATAGCTGGAGGAATGTAGGGAAGATTTCATTTTCACTAATGAAAGGTGCTTTAATCTTAGCAGGGATGAAATCTTCAAAGACTAACTTAAAAAGGTCTGTGTAATCAACTCATGTTGATTTTATTTAAAAATAACAATAAAAGAATACTTTGGAGACACTGCCTTCTATATTGGTTGTTATATATTAGATGGTTATGATTGCTTTTTTGTAACTAACTTAAGCTTTTGTTTTTCAGGCCAAGAAGTTCCAGAGAGGAAAAATTGCCTCAGTTTGAATACAGGATCAGTGAAGCAAGAATATTTGAAGCACCTTCCCTAAAGAAAACCTGGGTATACAGTAACTTGACAGACTGAGCTGTGGGTTTTTTACCCAAACTAGTCACTGGACTCTGCTGCCTGATACTTGAACCTGATTGGAATCTTTCTTATGTGGATCTAAGGGGAATGCTTTATTATGGCTGCTGTTGTCCAACAGAACGACCTAGTATTTGAATTTGCGAGTAACGTCATGGAGGATGAACAACAGGTATGAGACCCAGAGAATGTTGGATTTTAATAATTTATTTTTATGATTTTTCCACTTGTAGCAGAAGATCATTTACTTCCAAAGACAATAAAAGAAACTTTTATTAAAGTAAAAATTTCTAAATTAAAAATTTGGAGGTGATGTGCTCTTATGTTTTAAGTACCAATTAAGTCATAAGTTACGAATCTTTAGCTTTGCTGTGGTGTGGTAACAAGGAAGTAATACTTTTGGGGTTTAGCTTATTTTTCTGTAAAATGAAACTAAACAGCAAATGCGTTAAGTAATTATTTCAAAATACTTTGAAAAGTGTAAGTTCTAGAGGCACACCAACAGGACACATAAATAGTATTTTGTAGTATAGAGCTGGTGATTGTAATGCTTGCAACTTTATAGTGTTGTACAGTTTTAATATGTGTGATTAGTTAACATTTATACTTGTGGGCAATCCCACAATCATACATCATTTCAGGCCAAACCATGTGACTCTGAGGAAGTTACTCCACTTCTCTAAACCTAGATTTCATCATCTGTAAAATGAGGGGCTTAAACTGAATGATTTCCTAATCGGCTCTTTTCATTGAATTTTTACAAGATGTCCAAATTACTCTTTCCAGCATGTAATTTGAAAAAAAATCCAGGAAATATTGAGTGAAGGATCTAAGATGAATTCTAGTCCTTTTTTTTTTGCCAGGGTTTCTTGGGATTTCTATTTTCTGAGTTCATTTAAAAGAAAAAAAGTATTTACTTCATTTTAGACATGGTATGTGAGGAGCGTAAGATATGTTATAGAAGAGTTGGAGGACTCAGTTTACTGGGAAAAATATTTTGTAGACCAGTAGCTTTAAAGTATTTTTAATAAGTTTGATCTGTATATTGAAATAAGCCTAATCTCAAGTAACCTAATTCAAATAGGCCAACCAATATATATCATGCTCTTATTCTAAAAACATAGTTCACACAAATAGTAAAAATTGATTTCTCCTTTTGCTAGGGCATTATAATTTCTTAGCTGTTTGTATTGTGCTAACATTGAAGTGACAGAATAAAAAGCATAGAAATAAACCTACAAAAGGTGAGAATCTGGATTAAGGTGCCATAAAATCAAAATGAGCCTTGGCCAGGGAGGAGAAAAATTTGAGGGAGAGGACTGCTTAGTCCCAATTTAAAAATATGTTAATAGTTATCGGGGTTTAATCTAGAAATGATAGAAAAGATATTTTAGGGGGAGGAAGAGTTTTAAATTTCTTCTAAAACAGGATGTTTATGTATATGTTAAGGTTTGAAAACAGACAGCATGTTGACTGTGCAGCCCTCTTAGATGAAAGATCCTGTGTAGATCACAGGCTTGATGTGATGAGGCTTGACCGCAGGATGTGGCAGCAGACAGGGGACAGAGCTCTAAGCCACTCACTGGTACACCTTAGTGCAGTGGCTTTGCACTCTTTTATCCGTAAGTAGTACGTTTTACATTGTGGTTCGGTATACATACATGTGTCTACATAGCCTTAAAAAAAAAAGACTTCACAAAACAATACTTATTCTTTACCATATCTGATGCACTTAGTCTATCTTGCTCAGAAAGGCAAATTATGTCTGGATAAAGAGATGATGTTTTTAGTTGAGCATCAAAATGGGTGTGTGTATTTTCTTAGTTACTTATTTTTATTTAGCAAAACAAGTTTGTATTAGTTTTGTGCAGCCATTGTTGTAAGGACTTTACAAATATTAACCATATCAGGTAAGTACTGTTATCCCCATTTTACAATGAGGAAATTGAGATAGTGGTTAAGTGACTTGCCTGAAGTCATATAGCTAATCAGTAATTGAGCTGAACTTTGAACCCAAGCCGTTGGACTCCTGCTAATGATGTTGAATACTCTTGCAGTGATCCAAGAGAATCTTACTGTATTAAATTTGAGAACAATTAGCCTGGTTTAGAGTTCTTTAATCTGTGGCCATGAGTATAGTAAACAGCTGATTCATAGAGGGGTAGACCCAGTGGTGTTAATCTTGTTAGCATCTTGTCTAACCTGTCGCTTTACCTTTTGCTTTTTTTTTTTTATTGGTTGATTTAATTTGGTTTTGTTTTTTTTTGTTTTAAATAATATTGTATTGTGTTTTTGGTGACAGTTTATATAGCAAGTTAGGTTCCCATTTAACAATTTCTGCACAAATTGTTCAGGAACATTAGTTACATTTTTCACAGTGTGTCAACATTTTCTTTGTGTTCTTGTGTTCCATTTCCAGTACTCTAGTTTCCCTGCCCCCTTATCTTCTCATGTTTGCTTTAGAGTAAATGTTGACCTTTTGGTTTCATACAGATAGTTTTTTAGTAGAACACCATTCTTATGGTTGGTTTAATTTGTTTTTAATTACTTAAGCAATACATATGCCAATTATAAAAGAAGTCACTTAATATAAAAACATATAAAATAGATACTGAAAATCTCTTCTCTCCGACTCCCTAATCAGACTTTCTTCCCTAGAAGAAGCCAGAATTTACTATTTGATGTGTAATGTTTTTAGACAAAAGTCTGAACAAATGAACAATATACATATATACAAACCTATATACAGAGTTTTTTAAGATACAAATGAAATTATATTAAACCTTTACTGTAATTTGTTTATTTTTACTTAATCCATCATAAATATTTGTGTGTGTGTATATTAGTTCTACCTCATTTACTTTTCTATATGATAGATGAACGATTATTATTATTATTTTTTTATTGTGCTTTAAGTGAAAGTTTATAATTCAAGTTAGTTTCTCATACAAAAATTTGTACACACTTTGTTATGTAACCCTGCTTGCTCTGCCTGTACTGTGACAGCACACTCCTCCTTTCCACCCCGGATTTCCCATGTCCATTCAGCCAGCTCCTGACGCTTTCTGCCTTCTCATCTCACCTCCGGACAGGAGCTGCCCATTTAGTCTCATGTATCTACTTGAGCTAAGAAGCATATTCTTTACAAGTATCATTTTATTGGACCATTATTTATTTTACCCCAATCTATGATCATCATCTATGATCATCAATAATTGGCTATTACCAGTATTTTGCTATTACATACAATGCGGCAATGACTTCCTTGTTTGAGAGTCAGTAAATATAGTGGTTAAGAGCTCCGGTACTGGAGTCAGTATGCCTGGGTTTGAACCTTGGCTGCAGTGCTTGCTACCTGTGTGACCTTGGGCAAATTAGTTAACCTCTCTGTGCCTTGGTTTCCTCTTCTGCAAAACAGGGATGATAATATCAGAAATTAAGTTGGAGGGTTTTTGTGAGGATTAAATGAGTTGATATATGTAAAGCTTTCAGAACCATGCATGGTACATAGCTAATATTTACTAAGTATTACTCATTTCATTATTGCATCTGTGTGTATTATGTAGTGTATCTTTGTACATTTGTGTGATTATTTCTATAGGATTCCTGAAGGTAGACTTACTGAGTTTACCAAAAGCATAAATGTAGTACCAAATCATTCTTACAAAAGGCTGTGCCAGTTTTCGTTACCACTGATAGTTTTTGTTAATAAATGCTTGTTATTTCCCTATACCATCATTAACACAAATTCTCCTCCCTCCTTTTTGGGCCAGTTTTTAATTTCCATTTCCTTGGCTATTAGTGAAGTTGAGCATCTTCTCAACTCACGAATGTTCAAGAAATTGAGCATCTTGGCTATTAGTGAAATTGAGTTGTTTGCTGCTCATTAATCTTATTTACTACTCATTTGAATTTTCTTTGAATTACTTGTTAATATCCTTTTGCTCAGTAGAACTTCTTTGTATACTATAGATAGTAAGTCAGTATCATTGTCTTCTAGCTAAGCCATTGTACAGTTAATGGTTAAACTCTCTTTTTGTGACACAAGATTAACATATTTTCTCCAAATCTGGTACTGGTTTTTAGCAATATGATCAACCTGTGCCCTATAGAAATTTTAAATATTTATGTTATAGATTTATTGATATTTTATTTTGTTGGATTCTGGGTTTTGTGTCTGTCCTCACTTCTAAGACTATTAAATATTCTCTGTATTTTCTTGTAGTGTGTTTTATATGGTGAGCTCCTCATTCCATATGAAATTTAGTTTTGTATGATGTGAGGTATAGCGATATGACTACACTTAAAAAATTGGACGGTTGACCCTTCATCATTTATTGAATGTTCCATTATTTCCCCCACTAAAATTGCTACCTTTGTTATATACTAAATTACCATATATACACACTTCAGTATTGAACATGATAAAGAGTATTCTACTCCATTGACTTGGTTTTATATTGTGCCCATATTTGGTATCACTTTATACATCTGATATCTGATAGGATGTTTTTCCCCCAAAATTGGTATAAGGTTTTGAATGAATTTCCAGATTAGCATGTTAAGTTTCCTAGAAACTCTGTTGGGATTTTGACTTTTCAAAGTTAAAAGTTTTTGTCTTTTAAAGTAATTTATTCTATTTTAAGATCCTATATTGATTTGATTGCCTAAAAAATTCTTCTGTGTGAAATTACTGTTTGAAGGCACCAGATTAGAATATATTTTCTGTTTTCAATTTTGGTCTGTGGTTATAAATTTAGTAGTCTAAAGAAGCTGACACCATTAATATCTGGTTGCCAGCACGGTGATCATTTTGCCTTGTTATCAATTCATATTCTTTTGAAAATTGCTTGGAACTCCTTTGAACAGGGAGGGAGGGGTGTTGAAAGGCTTCTAAATATCAGCATTGTTGGTGCTGACAAGCTATTTAAAAGTTTGTTCTTGCTGTCTTCCAAATTGGGAATATTTGTAGCTGGGAACAAGGCACTTTTTGGGAGAGCAGCATCATCACTATTGAATTACAGTGTACTTTTATTTGAAGATGCCTTGATTTGACCCTCTTTGGCAGGCATGTTTGCCTGGTGAATGTATGAGAAGAAGAAAGCTGACGGCTGTGGATATAAGTTTCTAAAAGAGGAGAAAACTTGACTATCTGCTGAAACATTCCAGAAGTTAATTTAATGAAAAACAGCTGGTAGTTTAATGCTTTTTATAGTTTTGATATATCATTACCCTATGTAGTTTTTTAGTTGCTGACTTTAAAAGTAGAACTTCTGACAAATCATAAAGAGTTATGCTTAACAGACTTAGGTCACTAGGGAGAAGCGTGGTTACATGCTTGGAAAAGTGAACAAGTAGAATACATATTTTTATAGAATCCCATCATAATTTAAGAAGATAGCCTTGGGACTTTCCTTCCTAGGGAGTAAATTGGTGTACTCTAATTGCTTATTTCTAGAGGTTAAAGGTTAACAATCTCTTGCTGTCTTTTTAACAAGCAGCCTAGTGATTCTCATGCAGTGTTTGGGAATCACTCAGGGGAAAGCACAAAGTGCTGTGGATAAGAGAATGGAGCGGTTCACTGCATTGCAACTTTGGGACAGCTCTAACACTTGAGAATCTTGAAGGAAGATCTAGTTTATCTGACAAATGAAGAAAGGGGGGTGTTCCAGAGCAGAGGAATGTATCAACACTTTGAATGGATTTCTCTGGTCTATGTAATCAATCCCAGCACCTTAATTTACAGTTAGGAGCTTTTCTTACTATGTGACTGACTCTGTCAGGCCCTTTTATTTCTTGCACTACTTATTCTTGCGAGCCTGCTTTGTAATTTTCCCAAGTGCTGTCCTGCTTCCCCAGTGTTTGCTCAACAGTGCTCTCCTACATTCGTCGCATTGCTTGTTTAAGTTGTAATCATCTTTCAAGATCTTAGAACAAAACCTTCTTATTCCAGGAACTCATCCTACAGTCATCCCTTCAGGAATTAACAGTTTTATCCTGTTATTCTTACATCACTTACTGTCATTGACACTCATTAGCCATGTTAAGTTTTCATATATACATTGCTAATTTACCCCAGATAAGTGCTAAACTATTTGAAGGAAGGGATTGCTTTTTTTTCCCATCTTAATCCCCCAGAGCCTTTAACATTATTTATGATACATTTGTTGATTGAGTCTGCTTACAAATTTTTCTTCCTCTTCTTAATCCTGTTGGTAAAATGATCTGGGATATATATGTGTTCATTGCCGGCCCTTACCACGTCAGATGATCACTGAATGTTGAGAGGTGATACCTTGCCCCACAACTCTCTTGACTACAGCATTGTATACATTTTCCCGGGACCTATGTCCGTTCTCACTTAGTGTATAGACAGTGTGGCCATGTTGCCACAGGTGCAAGACCTACCATTTTTCAGATGGAATTGTAAGATTCTGTTTGCTTAGAGATTAAGTGTACCTCATAAAATGGGGTAGAAAAGTGAGTTGATAGTGCTTTATATAGTCCCTGGGTGGTGTAAACGGTTAACACGCTCGGCTGCGAACCAAAGACTAGAGGTTCCAGTCTACCCAGAGGCAACTCATAAGGAAAGCCTGGTGATCTGCTTCAAAAACCAGCTGTTGAAAATCCTGTGGAGCACAGTTCTACTCTAATACACATGGGGTTGCCATGAGTTGGAATTGACAGGATGGTTACTGGTTAACATGTAACTTGTTCAGTACCAGCAGTTGGAGGGCAGGAAGTTGAAGTGATGCTGCCAACCTGAACATGGACCCTGGACCCTCTGTTATAATATACATACAGGTCCAGGTTATACAAACAGGGCCAGGAAAGTTGGCAGGATGGCGTGGGGATTGAAGTTAGGGGAGTGGAAGGAAGTTTGCTCTGTCTCTGTACATGGGTTCCTCAGCGGCCCTGTTGGGATGGAAGTGGTAAGCTCTGGAAAGCTCTCTACCTTTTCAAAGCTGTAGACTCTTAGTTAGCAGGGGACAATGCAGGATGAACTCCATAAGGCAGCCTGACATGGCTTTAGAGTAGACAGACCTGGATATGAATCCCATCTCTAGGACTTAACAGTGGTGTTTTGATAACAGGCTCAAAGAGATTGTGAGTAAACAGAGATGATAGATAGTACAAGGATGACTGTGAGGGTTAAAGGAGGCAACTTTTACCAAGCATAATGCATAATAACTGTAGTAACTGTTATTTATTTTTGCATAACTAGGTAATGAGAGTACCAATTACACAGGTGATGTTTGGTTTGTGGATTTCATTCATCACTCTTTCACATGGCTGTAGCAATTGAGGGGAAACGAGCGTTATTCAGTTTCTCTCCTAAAAGGTGCTATTTTAGGTGACAGTTAAAGATTTATTATATTTTATAGTTTTGTATGACTTTTACAGTTTTCCCATTCTACTTTTTATTTCCTGGCATAGGCAAGGAAAAGAAAATTTAGAACAAACTTCCATTTATTTGTAGAAAAGAAGCTTGGTGGGAAGCTCAAGTAACTGGAATGTCCTCCCTTGTCCCTCCCCTGCCCTAACACATAGGCACATTTGGGAATAATTTGGTATTTAAAGACTTACCAGGGAAGGTGATTTTATAAAAAGTAATTGATTAGTATATATTCAGTCAGATTGTCTACAGCTTCAACATAATATTGAATTCACAAAAATTGATGTTTCTTGTCAAACAAGAGTCCGTGTGATGTGGAATAAAGAGCATCAGCTTTGGAACCAGGCTCCACCCCTTACCAGCAGTGTGACTTTGGACAAGTTTTCACCGACTTTTGATTTCTTCCACCAAAAATGAAGGAATTACCTCTCAAGCTTATGAGCATTAATGAGACCCTTATGTGAAGCATTTAGCAAGAGCCTGGCACATAGGAAGTAAGTAGTCAATAAATGTAGCTGTTGCTATTGCTGCTGTAGTAGTCATATTAATGACCTGAGTTAAATCAACAAAAGGTTGGTGGTTCAAGTTCAAAACCACCAGTTGCTCCGCGGGAAAAGGATGTGGCGGTCTGTTTCCTTAAAGATGACAGCCTAGGAAACCCTATGGGGCAATTCTACCCTGTCCTAAAGGTCTCTGTGAGTAGGAATCGACTTGATGGCAACGAGTTTGGTTTTTTGGTGTGTGTGTGTTTCACTATGTACTCTATTACCCAGTTATTTTGGGTAAGCGAGGCAATGAAGGTGATTTTTATTAGTTGGATGCCAGTTATACAAACTTATTCAGCTTTTTTTTTTAATTGTACTTTAAGTGAAAGTTGACAATTCAAGTTAGTTTCTCATACAAAAGTTTATACGCACATTGTTATGTGACCTTAGTTGTTCCGCTATACTGTGAAAGCACATTCCTCCTTTCCACCCCGGATTACCCTTGTCCGTTCAACCAGCTCCTTATACTCTCTGCCTTCTCATCTCGCCTCCGGATAGGAGCTGCCCATTTAGTCTCGTGTATCTATTTGAGCTAAGAAGCAAGCTCTTCACAAGTATCATTTTATATCCCATAGTCCAGTCTAATCTTTGTCTGAAGAGTTGGCCTTGGGAATGGTTTTAGTTTTGGGCCAGCAGAGAGTCCAGGGTCCATGTCTTCCGGGTCCCTCTAGTCTCAGTCAAACCATTAAGTGTGGTCTTTTTACTGGAATTTGAGTTCTGTACCCCACTTTTCTCCTGCTCCATCAGGGACTCTCCGTTGTGTTCCCTGTCTGGGTGGTCATTGGTGGTAGCCAGACACCATCTAGTTCTTCTGGTCTCAGGCTGATGGAGTCTCTGGTTTATGTGGACCTTTCTGTCTCTTGGGCTAATATTTTCCTTGTGTCTTTGGTGTTCTTCATTCTCCTTTTCTCCAGGTGGGTTGGGACCAATTGATGTATCTTAGATGGCAGCTGACTAGCTTTTAAGACCCCAGATGTCACTCCACAAAGTGGGATGCAGAACATTTTCTTAATGAACTTTGTTATGCCAATTGACTTAGATGTCCCCTGAAAGCATGGTCCCCAGACCCCTGCCCCTGCTACTCTGTCCCTCGAAGTGTTTGGTTGCATTCAGGAAACTTCTTAGCTTTTGGTTTAGTCCAATTGTGCTGACTTCCCCTGTAGTGTGTGTTGTGCTTCCCTTCACCTAAGATAGTTCTTGTCTACTATCTAGCTAGTGAATACCCCTCTCCCTCCCTCCCCACCCTTGTAACCATCAAAGAATGTTTTCTTCTGTGTTTAAACCTTTTCTTGAGTTCTTATAATGGTGGTCTTGTACAATATTTGTCCTTTTATGACTGACTGAATTCACTCAGCATAATGCCCTCCAGAATCCTCCATGTTATAAGATGTTTCACGGCTTCATCGTTGTTCTTATAGTTGCGTAGTATTCCATTGTGTGGAGATACCATAATCTGTTTATCCATTCGTTCGTTGATGGGCACCTAGGTTGTTTCCGTATTTTTGTTATCCTGAACGGTGCTGCAGTGAACATGGGTGTGCATATATCTATTTGTGTGACAACTCTTATTTCTCTAGGATATATTCCAAGGAGCGGGATTACTGGATTATATGGTACTTCTATTTCTAGCTTTTTAAGGAAGTGCCAAATCGATTTCCAAAGTGGTTGTACCATTTTACATTCCCACCAACAGTGTATAAGTGTTCCAGTGTCCCCACAACGTCTCCAACATTTATTATTTTGTGTTTTTTTGATTAATGCTAGCCTTGTTGGGGTGAGATGGTATCTCATTGTAGTTTTCATTTGCATTTCTCTACTGGCTAATGATTGTGAGCATTTCCTCATGTGTCTGTTAGCCACCTGAATCTCTTCTTTGGTGAAGTGCCTGTTCATATCCTTTGCCCGTTTTTTAATTGGGTTATTTGTCTTTTTGTTGTTGAGGTTTTATAGTATCTTATAGATTTTAGAGATTAGACCCTGAGTGGATTTGTCGTAGCCAAATTTTTTTCCCAGTCTGTAGGTTGTCTTTTTACTCTTTTGGTGAAGTCTTTTGATGACCATAACTGTTGGATATTTAGGAGCTCCCAGTGATCTGGTTTCTCTTATGGTGTTTGTGCATTGTTACTTATGGTTTGTATTCTATTTAAGCCATGTATTAGGGCGATTAGCATTGTCCCTATTTATTCTTCCATGATCTTTGTCGTTTTAGATTTTGTATTTAGGTCTTTGATCCATTTTGAGTTAGTTTTTGTGCATGGTGTGAGGTATGGGTGTTGTTTCCTTTTTTTGCAGATGGATATCCAGTTATCCCAGCACTGTTTGTTAAAGAGACTGTCTTTTCCCCAGTTAATGGACTTCGGGCCTTTGTCAAATATCAGCCGCTCATAGTGGATGAATTTACATCTGGATTCCCAAATCTGTTCCATTGGTCTATGTATCTGTTGTTGTACCAGTACCAGGCTGTTTTGACTGCCGTGGTGCTATAATAGGTTCTAAAATCAGGTAGTGTGAAGCTTCGCACTTTGTTCTTCTTCAGTAATGCTTTTCTTAATCTGGGGCCTCTTCCCTTTCCATATGAAGTTGGTGATTTGTTTCTTCATCTCATTAAATAATGCTGGTGGAATTTGGTTCGGGATTGCATTGTATCTGTAGATCATTTTGAGTAGAATTGACATTTTTACTATGTTGAGTCTTCCTATCCGTGAGCAAGCTATGTTTTTCCACTTATGCAGGTCTGTTTTGGTTTCTTACAGGAGCGTCTTGTAGTTTTCACTGTATAGATCTTTTACGTCTCAAGTTAGATTTATTCCTAAGTATTTTATCTTCTTGGGGGCTATTGTAAATGGTATTGATTTGATGATGTCCTTTTTGAAGTTCTTTTGTTGGTGTAAAGGAATCCAACGATTTTTGTATGTTTATCTTGTATCCTGAAACTTTGCTGAAATCTTCCATTAGTTCCAGTAGTTTTCTTGTGGATTCTTTGGGGTTTTCTG